AAATCTAATTCCCAAAATCTACTAGACTTGATTTAATTTAAGCACAACAATTACCGTTGTGGCCCAACTACCGTTACGCCACTATACTTGGCTTTCCATTTTTAAGAGTTGTAATTTGTAAATTTCAAGAGCGACCAAAACCGGTGATAAATGAAAGCTAACATGAACACTGTTTTGCTTCCACGTAATAGGGTCTGGCCTACTTGGTGGGGGATTACGAACGGCTGTAAAAAGATACGATGCCGTTTAAATGATGCATGATTAGCTGTCTTGTCTCAGGACTCAGGAGTGGAGTATGGGCTAATGATTAAAAGTTATGTTTGAGGGTTGGATGATTCTACGTGGTCACTCACCTTTAACAACATCCATTAAAAAACAAAAATCTTAACCTTGTCCGGCCAAAAATATTATCTGTAACAACATCCTCAAGCTGTTCCTATTATCCCTGGACGGTGAGATATAGACATAATAATATTGATGTCTTCATGGCAATGCATGAATCGTATACCAGGTCTATATTTTCATTTATTTAAATCCCGACATGAAAGACTTTTCATTGATCTCTATTTTGGTTAAAATATGAAAACAAAACTTTACAAAACATAACAATGTAATAAATTTGTTCAAAACGGTTTTTGCCATTATATTTAGAAAAAATTATGTAGCTATAATATTGGTATTGTCATGACACAAATATATTTTGGACATATGCCATACTTTTTTAAGCATACAATCTGATTTCAACATGAATTGGTAATTAACCTTTTTATATAGTATAACCCAATACCAATATTAATACATGATTTTGTATAATAATTACAAAAATGCTTACTGAACTTAAAATGTATTATTTTTCTTTATAGTATTAAGAAAAAATAAGAGAAATTGGATAGGAAAAAGAAAATAGCAAAAGAGTGAATATAGTTCCAAATATCGTTAGCTCAACTGGTTAAAAGGTTTTAGGCAAAGCCTAAAAATCACAAGATTGAATAACGTCTGAGACATAATTAATATATATAATATTACATATTGTGGTTCCGAGCCTAAGATGATTACATGCTTTGGTTCAGAATCTTTTGATAATTTTTTTAAAAAAGAATGAATTATAATTATTTAGTAAAATTAAGAAAAATAAAATGAAAATTATAAATTTTAGGGAATTTAAAAGGGATAAATACGAAATGTTTTGTTGATAATAAAAATTTTAAATTTATAATCATTATAAAAAAATAATTAAAAGTCATTTGTGTTAATATAAAATTATATCTATAACCAAAATAATTCACTATAATATTCTGTTACTTTTTTTAACAGCATAATATTGGTTTGTTCGTACGCTTATTTTCTTTATCAAATAACGAGGATTATTTTCCATCTGTTCCCATTTGTTGGTAAGATTAATTAAATCGAAGTAAAATCATTTTACCCTTTCAGCTTCACAATATGTATGTTCCACCAATGCAGTCGTATCTCTCAGAGATAATCATTTTTCCCTTATGAATTTATTTAAACTGAATAAAACATCAGGATGGGTCAATTATATATATTATGATATTCTGTCTGATCAATAAAATTTATGTGAGCAAATTGCTTGTCACTGTTGTCCGTGAGAACTAGAGATTAAGATATAAAGAGATGTGAAATCGATATATAAGCAAATATTTGAGCTATTTGCATGGTTTCAAAGCATAATTAATGACAAAATTGTTAGCCGACGCGAATTATAAATTTTCCATAATTATAGTTTGTTATAGGGTGGTCAAATTAACTAGTGATTACGTATTTGGATGTAGTTGCTGTTCAGTTTAATGACGAAAATTTGGCAAGTTAATTATTTATAAGAGTTTGGTAACAACGTCCTCGTAATTAAGTATAACTGAATTATGTCTACTTTTAGACAATTTAAAAGCAATGTATTGTCAAACAAATTGGCTGTGAATGGATCGTCAAATATTTTTAGATTGGGTTGGTTCAGCTTCGGATCAACTCGATTTTTGATTATCAAAATCTAAGTTTTGATTTCGATATTGATATCATGTCATAGTTGATGAGTTTCCAACCAAAAATTGTAAGATTCAAAATTGAATATCCATATCTTTTTGGATTGAGCTCGGATTAATTTCAGATCACTAAATTTTGTGTTCAGAATCTGATATATAGGATTCTAGCTAACAGAAAATTAACTGAAAAAATCTCCCTTAGTTTATTCTATTTATGTAATATTTAAAGTTTTATGTTATTTCAAACTTGAGATTTCAATTAATTTCTAACGATTGTATTGAGTTTCATATGTTTCAACTTAAAACTAATGGATTGATCAATATCATCTATATATTATTTTAAGCCTTGTCTTAAATCCCATAACGTGAAATTCTTGATATCTCCCCTCAAAATGATAGCTTTTCTAGTCACTCATCTTAACAATATCCAAATACAGAATATATTTTATATCTGATTAGCCAAATATTTTTGGACGATATCGATTTGGATTTGGATTATGCCAATGTTTATTCATGTCCAAATACTATTTAAAGTTTTATAAATATTCTGATTCAATACCAATCGGTTATGAGTAGATTAACTCATATTATACTATCCGATCTATCTTATTAGGATTAATTTCGATTTTGATTATGCCAATGTTTGTATGTTCAGATACTATGATAAGTTTTGCAAAATTTCTAATTCAAAACCAATTGATCATGAGTAGATTAATAAAGCAATCACTTAGGAAATTTGTGCTTGTGTATCAAATAAAATTAAAATATGTATAAAAGTATAATGTATGGAAACACACAATCAATAGAGAAGCACAAGATATCGAGAGAAAATAATTTGACCAGAAAAATGGATAAATGAAGTATGAAACAGTTTTATGTATATGAATCAAAGTAAAGTATGCATGCAAAATAAAACACATTAAATGATTTGTGTGAAAGAAATTAGAATATTTAATGCAGCTTTTACGATGTCAAAAACAAATAAAATAAAGCGTGTAGCATGAGGTTGGTCTCGCGCAAAACTAGAGGAGGAGACAAAATATGTGGAAGGGTGATTAGGAAATCTCACCATATTCCGATTTGCTTTCTAAGTTTCTTCCATATCTATTTTAGTTTTACTTACAATTCACAAATTAGGAAAAATTATTTGCCAGAAGCATTTCCTTTTGTCATGTGTATTAAACTCAATAGATATATTGAAAACTAAAATCTAAGGTTCTCTTTCCTATACCTTTAAGAATTTCCAAAGTAAAGTAAATCTAGGAAACAATTGTCGAGCATTCTACATTCACAAATGAAATAAATTTGTAAATCAGCTTTCATCTATACATACATGGTGATTTTTATACATTTATCAAAAAACAAACGTACATATCTTCTCGTTATGTTTACCACTTGTGAATGTATAGTTTTCCTTCTAGATGGTGAATCTACCTTTTGTTTAGTTTATTATTCTATACGACAAGAAAGGGTAATATGACAGAGTTATATCTTCCAATTTTTGTGACAGATTTTCGATAGAATTTTAACAGTTTCATGATCTGTCGAAAATTCATCAAAAATTTTGAAAATCCGTCTAGTTAATACAAAAGATGTCAGTTGGCGACAAAAAGAGACAGAATTTTTCATTATAAAAGATATTAACATTTCATGACTATGTGCAAAAAAGATATTACCATTCATGACTATGTACAAATTAAGACGTGAAGAGATCTCTCATATATTTAGTGGTTTTCACTTTTCAGACCAATATTTAAAACTTCTAGTGGAATATGAGTTGTGGATATGTGCTGGAGCTGCGTTCAAAAACATAAATATCTACCCATATTTGGAAAAGTGAAATTAGTGGTCTAATTGCTTGAACCTCGCGGATCAAAGATAATTTCTTACAAATTTATTTGTACACAAGTAAGTTCTTTTGCTACTTTTCGAAAGTTCTAACAAAATATAACATTTTCTGCACAGTTCATGACAATTTATGGAGATGTAATAAGGGAAGCAAAATCAACTTCTTATCCAAAAGTGATATTTTTAAGAGTTAACGAAAGTGCAACATCACAAAGACAAGTTATAATATGGTGCAAATTAATTATTTTATCAAGATATAACACGTTCGATTTATTTTGGATCACATTATAATACATATGATTATCAATCGCAATGTAGATGCCAACTTTCATCCATTAGCTTTTAAGGTACAAACAGTATTACACTTCCAATCTTTCTTTGCTTGCAAACAAATTGATATTTCCCAACAAGTCTTAAAGATTTATGATATGTGGTTAAATATTAAATCATTATAAAATTAGTTTTTGTCAAAATAATCTTCCCTTTGCTATATTTGTAGTTTTGTTTTTGACAAAATTAGTTTTATAATGATCTGTCATTAAAAAATATTTTCAATAATTTATACATTGTTCATAACAATTTTGACCTTATTCAATATTATATATACACTTGTGTACCATACATAGAGATGTAATAAAGAGAGCATGCATAATCAAATTTTCATTCCAAAAATAACATATATTCTTAACACTTTCATTAAGAGCTACATCACTAGACAAGTTAAAATATGTGCTGGCACAAATTAGTCTTTTTAAGAAATAACACGTATGAATTATTTTGGGTCACATTATAATATGATTATCAATCACAATGTAGATGCCAACTTTTTAACCATTAGCTTTTAAGCTACACACAATATTATGTTTGTCTTTCATTCTTCCAATCTTTCTTTGTTTGCAAACAAATTAATATTTCCTAATAAGTCTTTAAGATATTTGTTTTCATAGATTTTTTATTGAGATATATATTTTAAAATCAAACAAATTAAAGCAACAATTGATGATTAAGGGATGAGATGAGTATTTATGCCTTAGGGTTAAACGAAAATCATGAAGAAAAAAACAAGATTATGGATAACGGCATAACCGGTAACACAAATCGCAGCAATTTACAGAGAAAAATAGAACACAGCCTGTCTTTCCTTCCTTTATATAAAAATAAAAAAAAATTTCTTTAAATACTCTCTCTTCTTCCTCCTCTGCTCTCTCCATCTTCCAAGAAAAAGACTTCATTTTTACCATTATTTGCTCAGGTCAGCTCCTCTCTCGCTCTCTCTCCTCTCTCTTTCATTTTGCTTACAGTTGAATAACACAATGCCATTGAGCTACTTCACGAATCTTCTTTACACTTGTCTTAATTAAGTTTCTGTTTTTTGTCTGATCTAGATCTAGTTTCTCCTCAATGCATTACATTATATGTCTTGGGTCGCGTGAACTTAAGCTTTACTGTCTCTATGTTTGTTGGTGTGTCTGTTTGTTTTTCTTTTTCCGGCAAAGTCTCTATCTAATGTCGAAGAAAAAGTTCAAGATCTGACTAATTAACTAACACTACTTTAGTTCGTTAGTTACAATCTGTGACTATCACTTGTTTGATCCTGTCAACATAACTCAATTCGCTTTTGAAAGATCATCATTGTGTTCTTGAACACAGATCCGGATCTGAGATTTTGTTCAATTCACTGACATGGGTTCTTGTTCTTGATGAAGTTTCGATCTTTGCATTTGTTCTATAATAAAATCCTGATTTGATTTCTTGAAACGCAGTCACACTAGCAGAGAGAGAGAGAGCGAGAAACTCAGAGAAGCAATGGCAAAGATGCAATTATCAATCTTTATCGCCGTGGCGTTTCTCGTCTTCTCTTCATCAACAAACGCCAAAACCGCAAGCCCTCCGGCTCCAATGCTACCGCCGACACCAGCTCCGGCACCGGCTCCACACCACGTGAATCTCACTGAGCTCCTAAGCGTAGCCGGTCCATTCCACACATTCCTCGACTACCTTCTCTCATCAGGAGTCATCGAAACATTGCAAAACCAAGCCAACAACACAGAGGAAGGTGTCACAATCTTTGTCCCAAAAGACGATGCTTTCAAGGCTCAAAAGAATCCTCCTTTGTCAAATCTCACAAAGGATCAGCTCAAGCAGCTTCTTCTCTTCCACGCTCTTCCTCATTACTACTCGCTTTCCGAGTTCAAGAACTTGAGCCAGTCCGGTCCGGTTAGCACTTTTGCTGGTGGCCAATACACATTGAAATTCACAGATGTTTCGGGTACGGTTCGGATTGATTCGCTATGGACCAGGACTAAAGTCAGCAGCAGCGTTTTCTCCACTGACCCTGTAGCGGTTTATCAAGTGAACCGTGTGCTTTTACCTGAAGCAATCTTTGGTACTGATGTTCCTCCAATGCCAGCTCCAGCTCCTGCTCCTGTAGTTAGCTCTCCTTCTGATTCTCCTTCTGCTGATTCTGAAGGAGTCAATGCTAATTCACCAAAATCCTCGCACAAGAACTCGGCGCAGACGCTGGCTTTTGCCCCAATCGCCATGGTTGTTTCCGGTTTGGTGGCATTGTTCTTGTGAGAAAGGAGGAGTTTTTTGGTTTTTGCAGGTTGAGTATGCTCTAAGTTACATTTTGTGAAAGAGATTTGTATTACATCATATTCCACATTTCGTTTTGATTTTTGAACCTCATTTTTTATTTTATACCATTTTATCATCATTATTGTCATTTATCAGTGTTTGTGAATCGAGATTGTTCCTTCATTTTGCTTTCTTTCTTTAGTTGATTTTGCTTCATTTCCAAGTTAAGATGATACCATCCTATATAAGAGGTTAAAGTTTATCTCCTTAATTTAATATCCAAAGATAAGCCACTAAATTATGACGTCATATATTGTCATATATGGATTAGATTCGTAGCTTTGGATTTGGTCCACTCGTAGTAGTAAACAGAGGAAGAAAATGGCGTCTCAGATATTCATACCATCAGGAAACGCCACTATTGGTAGCCGAAACGCGGTTTATGTGGCGGCAGTGCCACTCAAAGCGGCGGCTGGTCCGCCGCAGCTTGTTATGTCGATGGCTTACTCACTTAATCTATGGAATTTACAGCATTTCATGGTCCTCATCAAACCTTCTTCTCCAACTCCTCGAGAGGTTTCTTCATTTCATAATCTTCTGTTGACTACAAAGTATTTGTATATGCCTCAACGAAACGTTTCTGTGGCTAAAATCAGTTTTTGTGGGTATGATCAGGTAATGGTGTTTGATTTCCAGCCTGTTAATCCAGAAAGCATAGAAGCAGCAATCTCAATTTTACTTAGAAACTCGATTCCAGGTTCTAATTCCCAGACAATCATATCGAATGTAATCTTGTGTTTGCTTATTAACTCTATGATTCAAAAAGTAGGAATCTTGCAAGTGTAGTAAAAAATTCTGACAAACAAGGGTTCTTTTTTTTGTGGGTTTGTAGGAGTAGTGATGCAAAGAAAGTTGAAGAATGTTCCTAAACAAAGATGTTGGATGGTTGGATCATCCAAAGTGAATAATGCAATTGAAATGGCAATTGAGTTTAATAACTCATGGGAGACTGATCTTAGAGTTGGCTCTCATGATTGCAGACATTATACCAATGGTACTGTTACAAGATTTGGGTTTTTTTTTTTTTTGGTTCAAATATGTTGTGGCAGCAAAACATGATAAAGCCTAACTCTTGGTTTGTTTTGTTTCATGTTTTTTCATTTACAGAACTTGTCCAACATCTTACCGGAGAAATACAAATTGTGGAGCAACTCCAAAGAAGCTACATCAGTTAATAATCACCTCAATAATTAGTTGAAACGTATGTTCACTTGTCTACCAAATTTAATTGGCCAGCACTTGTATATTTTAAGTTTAACCTAGTAGTAGTACTTAGAATTTATCAAAAAAAAATATCTGAAATGACAAGTACTCAAACCAACATTATTCTCCTTACATTGGTGGTTAATAACCAAACACAAGAAACTCAAAACTTATTATAAAAATTTAACCTTCTAACTTCTTGTTGTTCTCTTGATCTGAACTTTCCAAAAGAATGGTAAAGAGTGACAAAATTGACCAACCACATACAATCTGTTTTAATCTTTCTACACATATCTCCTCTCACAAGCTTCATTGCTACAACACATGACGAAACTCTTTCCATAAATATTTATATGGACGAAGCAACTTGGAGAATAGCTTGAGACTTCTCTTGTCGGATTACAAAAGAAAGAAAAACTTGTTTCCTTTGCCCCAAAAACAACATCAGTTTCCAAGAAAACTCAAAATCTCGTGAACTAATTCACTCTTTATAATGTCTTCCTACTACATGGACACACATTGCACTGACCTAGAATTCAAAAATTAGTAAGATATGTGTCTTTTGGGACATTGAAAGTTGTCTTCTACCGGATGTTAGATATGTGAATATCACACAAAGGACAAAACAGTAATTTAGATCCAAAACTCGGATTTTATTAGATCGGTCGAGAATACAACAGAGTTCGTTTATGTAAATGATAAACGAACTAAGACTTAGGAAACTAAGAAGCTAATGAATGCCTTGAGTTCTTAGTCTCCAAGTCTCTCGGGAATTTCTTCTCTTCTCGGAAATTTCCTTTCTTCTCAGAAATTTCTTTTTTTTTCTACTTGAAAATTTTCCTTTTCCATCCGAACTCAGAGAACTTCTCAATTCCATTAAGAAGTTTCGACCGACTTCGGCTTATCGGGCTATGTTTAGCCCAAGAGCTTGCCTAGCCCAATTTTCCAGGTACAATTCTTTCGTAAACCGGGTTTAATTCGTGCCGATCTCTGTTTGTACCGGAGAAAACCGAGAGTGCGGTTTTCACCTCCAACACCGGACAATTTGTATGTCTCACAAATGTATTTAAAAAATCATTCTCTTCATAAGACAGATTTATCATAATGATTCAGAAAGAAAAAAAAAACGAAATTGGTAAATATAATTTAATTTTAATGCTACGACAATATCAATTGACGATATATCTTTACGCGTCTCATTTAATGCTACGACGAATAAATGCGGTAGACACTACAAGAAAGAAGGGCTTTTCCAACGAATTATTTACGACGATTTACGGTCGTCGTAAATTTACGACGAAATTACTTCGTATGTACGATGTCCAAAAATTTCGTCGTAAATTCGACGTAAAAAATTACCCTCGTAAAATCGTCGTAAATTTACGACGACATTACGATGAATAAAGAACGAATTATATTTCGTCGTAATGTTGTCGTAAAATTTACATCGATAATACGACGAATTGGCCTATATCTTGAAATTGATGTAATATCGATGTAAATATAATGTAAATTTTATTTTGACGTAAATTTGATGTAAATATGCAATGGTAATATGTTGGTAACCAAACAAAAAATCTATATATACCCTTTCTTCTCTCATTATTCCATCAACCAAAAAAAACATATAAAGACACAAATTTTTTGAGTCTTTGAATGTTTAAGTAAAATTTTTAATAGTTGAAATTTATATCAAATTTCAAAAACAAAAAGTCAGTTATTTGTTTTTGAAATGTCTATATACGATCTACGAAAGTGGATGTATACGCCCAAAAATGGTGATGGGTCGTTGACTGAAGACTTCAAAAACGGATTGGAAATATTCATGTACCAGGCCGACCTTATGCAAACTATAATTGAAAGCGGCAAAATGTATTGTCCTTGTGTGAAATGCAAAAATAGGAAACATATTCCTATTGACACTGTCTGGCAGCATTTATTGAATAGAGGGTTCATGCCCCAATACTTTATTTGGTATCAGCATGGAGAGGGATATGGTCAAAGTAATGGTCAGATGGCTCCACGGAGTAGTGGTAATCATCAAGAACATGGGGATTTTGAAGCATCAAATGATTATCAAAGTAGTCAAATTCAGGGTGAAGATCATGATAGGATGCATGAAATGGTTACTGATGCATTTCATGAAACACATGCTGATACTGTTGAGGAGCCCAATGCAGATGCGAAACGCTTTTATGATATTTTAAACGCAGCAAAACAGCCTCTTTACGAGGGATGTAGGGAAGGTTTATCAAAATTATCATTGGCAGCTCGGATGATGACAATAAAAACTGATCACAATCTATCTGAAGTTTGCATGAACGATTGGGCAGATCTTATTAAAGAGTATTTGCCAGATGATAATTTGGTTGCTGAAACGTATTATGAAATTCAGAAGCTGGTTTTTAGTCTTGGATTGCCTTCTGAGATGATTGATGTTTGTGTTGATAATTGTATGCTTTTTTGGAGAGATGATGAGAAGCTTGAAGAATGTCGTTTCTGCCAAAAGCCAAGATATAGACCGCACATTGCTGGGCGTAAGAAGATTCCTTACCAACGAATGTGGTATCTTCCTATCACTGATAGGTTAAAAAGACTATATCAATCTGAACGGACAGCTGCGTCGATGAGATGGCATGCAGAACATTCACAAACAGATGGCAAAATGACTCACCCGTCTGACGGGAAATCTTGGAAACATTTTAACACCGTACATCCAGACTTTGCTAGGTCTAAGCGAAATGTTTATCTTGGTCTTTGCACTGACGGGTTTAGTCCATTTGGTATGTCCGGTAGGCAATATTCATTATGGCCTGTGATTCTTACGCCATATAACCTTCCTCCAGATATGTGCATGCAAAGGGAGTTTTTGTTTCTAAGTATATTAGTCCCTGGTTCAAATCACCCGAAGCGGGCCCTTGATGTGTTTTTGCAACCACTCATACATGAGTTAAACCAGTTGTGGCATGTTGGAGTACGAACATATGACATTTCGAATGGTAAAAATTTTACGATGCGAGCGGTGCTTATGTGGACAATAAGCGATTTCCCGGCATACGGAATGCTATCAGGTTGGACAACGCATGGGAGGTTATCATGTCCTTATTGTCTTCATAGGATTGATGCATTTCAGCTTAAACATGGTCGGAAAACCTGTTGGTTTGATTGCCACCGTCGGTTTTTACCACCAAACCATCAATATAGAAGAAACAGGCGTTTGTTTATAAATAACAAATTGGTTCGTCTCCCTCCACCAGTGTACCTAACTAGGGTAGAGCTTGAAGCGCAAATAGATCATTGGGGTGGACTTGAAACGGTCCCCCGAGGAGGAAATTGGCACACTCCAGCGAATATGCCTGAAGGATATGGGGTTCATCATAATTGGCACAAGAAAAGTATATTTTGGGATCTGCCATACTGGAAAGATCATTTGCTGAGACATAATCTTGATGTTATGCACATTGAGAAGATTTTTTTCGATAACATCATGCATACGGTTTTGAACGTCCAAGGAAGAACCAAAGACAGCGTTAAATCACGGATGGATTTGCCCGATATATGTAATAGAATTGAGTTGCATATGGTGAGTAATGGGAAAGCACCAGTTCCTGTATTTCGGTTGGGTGCTGAACAAAAAGCAGCATTGTTTAATTGGGTATCATCAGCCGTGAAATTTTCTGATGGGTATGTATCTAATCTGGCTAAATCTGTCATGATTGTCATGTGTTTATGCAACGGTTACTTCCTTTTACGTTTGCTGAACTCCTACCGGGACATGTCCATGAGGCACTAGGAGGCATTGGAGCTTTCTTTCGTGATCTAAGTACAAGGACATTATCAGCAGATGTAGTTGCCCAACTGTCTACAAATATTCCAATATTGTTGTGCAATTTAGAGAAAATATTTCCACCTGCTTTCTTCGATGTTATGGAACATTTACCTATACACCTCCCTCATGAAGCAGAGTTGGGAGGACCTGTTCAGTTTAGGTGGATGTATCCGTTTGAACGCTTTATGAAGCATTTAAAGGGTAAGGCTAAAAACTTAGCAAAAGTTGAAGGGTCTATCGTGGCGGGAAGTTTGACAGAAGAAACTTCTCATTTCACGTCTTATTATTTTGCTCCGAAGGTTCGTACACGCAAACGGGCTCCAAGACGTTATGACGAGGGGGTGTAGGACAAAGTTACACAGTAGAAGGTGTGCCTGATATATTCTCACCAATTGGACGTCTAAGTGGGAAACTAAAAGAAACTTGTTGGTCAAACGAACAGGACCTCCACAGCGCACATACATATATACTTCTGAATTGCGAGGAATTGGCACCTTACGAGAGGTACATACAAATAAGCATGCATGATTATATTTTGATTGAATAGACGATGTCCTTAACAATGTTTTCAAATTTCAGCACTTTTGTCAGTCAAGTCCGAGAATGCATTGACGGTGTTTCAGAAGATGAAATTAACAAGCGGATAGACCAACATTATGCAATGTGGTTAAAAGCTCAGGTTGAGCATGATGACATGACATAGGCAGTATGGTTTCATGAGTTGCTCCATGGTCCTATATCGAAGATAACTACTGCAGCTATGTATTTCACACGTGGCTATGTTTTCCATACTTACAGTCATGGCACTCAACGGGCAACTACGAACTATGGAGTTTGTGTACGAGGTGAAGTGGACTTTTATGGGATCATAAAAGAGATAATTGAAGTGGAATACCCCGGATTAGTAAGAATGAAAACTGTTCTATTCAAATGTGATTGGTTTGATCCAACGGTGGGTCGTGGAGTGCGTATTAACAAATTCGGAGTGGTAGATGTAAACGTATCTCGGCGATACAATAAGTTCGAGCCTTTTATACTTGCATCTCAAGCAGAACAAGTCACCTTTGTTCCATATCCTCGAGTTCGAAGTACGAGAATTTCATGGCTGGCGGTTGTCAAAGTTGCTCCAAGGGGTATAATTGATGGTGTGGATCTCCCGCCAATGCAACAAGATGATTGTGTCGACATTACGGAACCTGAGGTTGAAGAACATGTTCTTTTAATTGATCCACGTAATCGACAGGTTGAAGATCTCCATGGGGACGAAAGTGAAGAAGATGCTGACGAATTTCAAACAAGCAGTGATGAAGATGATGAGGACAACGAGGAAAATGTTGAAGATTAGTCACGA